CCCCCCCCCCCAAATCTCTTCGCCCGGGCGGCTCCGTTCCGCTCGGCTGAACTTATCGAGGGAGCCAAGCCGGGTGGGGTGAGGGGGGGCGGCCTTGAAAGACGACCCCAGGACTCCCCTTGCCCTGGTGAAGGGCCCCTGCAATAGTCCACTGGAGAAGGGAGCCCCAGACAAACGCCCTGCTCCCCTTCACGCACGCACACACGCACACGCACACACACACACACGTGTGCAGGCAGCCTCACCCTGAAGTTCACCGGGTCCACGTGGAGTTTGTCACAGTGGAGCTCGCTCAGCTTGGCGAAGGTCTCCTTGACGCTGTCCAGGTTCTTGACGGCATCCCCGAAGGAGGTGAGCACCTTCTTGCCGTGCGCCTTGATTTTGGCATTGCCGAGGATGGCCTGGGCGTTGGAGAGGTTGCCGAACTCCGTGAAGAACCTCTGGGTCCAGGGATACACGATCAACAGGCTGGAGGGAGGGAGGGGGAGAGGGGAAAGGCAGAGGCATGGTTCTCTTAGCCAGAAAAGGAGGGACCCCCAGCGGGTCTCAGGGCGGCGGCCCCGCTCGCTCGCCCCCCCCCTCCCGGCCGCGCGCTCCCGGGCTTACCGGCAAAGGCATTCGCCACCAACATTGGCCACGTCGACTTTGCCCCAGAGGGAGGTGATGAGCTGCTTCTCTTCCGCTGTCCAGTGCACCATGACGGAGGTGGAGGTGGAGGGCTGTGGACGGGCGTCGCTCTCAGCCGAGAAAAGGTCTTGATCTTGAACTGATCCGAGGTCTCCCTGCAAGGCGGCTTTTATACCTTGGGCCGAAGCACCTCCTCCGGGCCGAGGGATGGGTGGCCGGCGGGTGGATCTGGGCGCCTGAGCTTGTGGGCTGAGGAGGGCGAGGGCGCGCCACCTCAGTCCTTGCAAGGTGCGGCTCCGCCGGGTGAGCCGAGATAGCTGCTGCCCAAAGAGGCCCGCCAGCCTGGCCATCGCACACAGCTCTCTTCTCACACACACACACACAGAGAGAGAGAGAGAGAGAGAGAGTTACAGCAGCTCCACTGGCTGCTGATCTGCTCTGGGGCACCCTTCAAAGTGCTGGTTCTAACCTATAGAGCCCTAAACGTCTTGGGTCCAAACTCTCTCAAAGCCTGCATGTCCCTTGATGAGCCTGCTCCAGTGTTATGGTAATCAGGAAAGGACTTTCTCTGGGTCCCCAATCCATTTACAGGGACATTTGATGCGGGGACACAGGAGAGGGCCTTCTCTGAGGCTGCTCCCAGACCTTGGAACTCCCTCCCACTGGAGGCTAAGCTACCCCATCTTGGCTGTCCTTCTGCAAGCAGACGAAGACCTGTCTCTTCGGACAGGCTTCTCCTTAGTGACTGGCAGCCTGAATGAGGTTTTAAAATGAGATGATTTGTTTTTCTTGCTTTTGAATCTGTCTTAGTAAAGGTTTTATTACTCAGTACAGTGGACCCTTGACTTACAGATGGCCCGACTTACAGACTTTTCGAGTTAGAGACTTCTCTGGCTGCAAAATTTAGGTTCGACTTGCAGCCGGAGAATTGACCTTCCAACCCAGAAAAAAAACAAAAACAAAATGGAACAAAAATGGCCGGTTATGGCAGTGGTCCCCAACTTTTTCAATGCCAGGGACTAGTTTTGTTGAAGACCATTCTTCCAAGGACCGGGGGAGGGGCTGCTGCTGCGGCGTCCATAAATGGGGGGGGCTTGGGGGCATCCGTGCGTGGGGGTACTTGCTATGCAGTAGTATGTTATGCCATCATTAAAAGTGCCTCTGAGGAATCCCAAGTAAAGATCAGCTGTGCTAGTAGGTCTTTCCTGACATTTTCGTAGTCACATCCTACACCAGAAGCCATGGTCCAGAGAGCTTTAAAAGCACCAGAGGGACTTCATTGTTAAAAAGGTATCAGTCAGGAGAAGGGTATAATAGAATTTCCAAGGCAATAGATATACCATGGAACACAGTCATCATCAAATGGAGAAAAGATGGCACAATAGTGACATTACCAAGGACTGGACGTCCCTGCAAAAGTGATGAAAAGACTAGAAGAAAATTGGTCAGGTGAGGGAGGCTGCCAAGAGGCCTACAGCAACATTAAAGGAGCTGCAGGAATATCTGGCAAGTACAGGCTGTGTGGTACATTTGACAACAATCTCCCGTATTCTTCATATGTCTGGGCTGTGGGGTAGAATGGCAAGATGGAAGCCTTTTCTTACAAAGAGAAACATCCAAGCCTGACTAAATTTTTCAAAAACACCTCTGAAGTCTCCCAAAAGCATGTGGGAAAAAGTGTTATGGTCTGATGAAACCAAGGCTGAACTTTTCAACCATAATTCCAAAAGATCTGTTTGGCGCAAAAATGACACTGCACACCACCAAAAGAACACCATACCCACAGTGAAGGGTGGTGGCGGCAGCATCATGCTTTGGGGCTATTTTTCTTCAGCTGGGACAGGGTCCTTAGTCAAGCTAGAAGGAATTATGAACAGTTCCAAATACCAGTCAATATTGGCACAAAACTTTCAGGCTTCTGCTAGAAAGCTGAACATGAGGAGGAACTTAATCTTTCAGCATGACAACCACCCAAAGCAAGCATCCAAATCAACAAAGGAACGGCTTCACCAGAAGATCGACATTTTGGAATGGCCTAGCCATAGCCCAGACCTGAATCCGATTGAATATCTGTGGGGTGATCTGAAGAAAGCTGTGCAATCTGACAGATTTGGAGCGCTTTGGCAAAGAAGAGTGGGCAAATATTGCCAAATCAAGATGTGTCACACTGATAGACTCAAACCCAAAAAGGCTGGGTGCTGTAAAAAAAATCAAAAGGTGCTTCAACAAAGTATTAGTTTAAGGGTGTGCACACATATGCAACCATATTATTTCAGTTTTTTATTTTTACTTCCCTCCACCTAAAATATTTCAGTTTGTTGTTCAATTGAGTTGTACAGTTCACAGGTCTCAATAAAGGTGGAAAAAGATCTATCTGAAATGATTTATCTTTGTCTCATTTTTTTACACCACAGACAGTTGACATTTTAACAGGGGTGTGTAAACTTTTTATATCCACTGTATTTGTTTGAACTTTTTTTTAGTATTTATATGCTCACTTGGGTTAACCTTAATTTTGTCTTTTAATGTTGTAAAGAAAGAACTGCCTTAGTTCCCTTCAAGGAGAAAGATGTGGTAAAAATATTTTAAGTAAATAAATAAGTCCACATTAAGACTCAATAAGAACAGAAGCAGGCAACCTGATGCCCCTCCAAACATTTCAGACGACAATCTCCATCATTCCCAAATACTAACCATGTTGTCTGGGGTACAATCTGGACCTATTAGTTTTACAAAAGACTTGCTCATATGCTGCAGCTCTGTTCTGGTAAAAGGCAGAAAGGGGACCACCAGGAGGGGATTTTCCACCCCAGTCGAGCCAAACCCCCCCCTTTCGTGTAATGGTTGCTGCTGGGGCCATTGAGCTGGCCTCCCTCCTCCCTCTGCCCAAGCCCCTCCCGCCCCCTCCGATAGAAGTCCATGGCTTTGAGGCTTTCTCACCTCTGAGGCAGCAGCAGCAGCAGCAACAGATTTTCAAGCCAAGGCAAGCCCACTCTGCCCCTCCCTTTTTGTAATGGCTGCCGCTCTGTCCCCGCGGCCCAGCTGATGTCTCCTCCTCGGGGACCGGCACCAGGCCCTGGACCGGGGGTTGGGGAACCCTGGGTTACAGCATTAATCGGTTTTCAATGCATTGTAGGTCAATGGAGACTCGACCTACAGACTTTTCGACCTGCAGCCACCCTTCCAATACGGATTAATTCCGCAAGTAGAGGGTCCACTGTAATGGGCCTCAACAGATGGGAAACCCTGACATCTGAGCGTTCAGCCTGGAGGCAGGCAGTACAGCACGGCCTCTCCCAATTTGAAGAGACCCTTGTCCAGCAGGGCGAGGCAAAGAGGCCGTCCTGAAAGCAGCAAAATCAGGGAGCTGGTCAGGGGACAGACTGTATTTGTCTTCAGGGGGGAAGAGATTGTCACTCTCGAACTGGCCTTCTCAGCCACACTGGACACTGTTCCAAGTCCTCCATTCAGAGCACGTGACCATCATATCTGAAGGATGCCTACTAAAACATTTATGTATGTATTGTTTTCTGTCAAGTCAATTCCAATTTCTGGAGACCCTGTGTGTGTGTGTGTGTGTGAGAATTGTACCCTGGGACCATTTTACCAGTTTCCTGAGGCCTCAGAGGTGGGCTTTTATCGCAGGAGGCACAGCCGGGAACTGAACCTCCACCTTACCGAATGTTGCCATGTAACATTGATTTAATTCTTTTTCAATCTTTGAATAACTCACTGTTTTTTGTTTTCGAATATTGTCTTTTTTAATCATGTCAGCTGCCTTGGGTCCTTTTAAAGGAGAAAGGCAGGAGTTTAAAACATTATAAAAAACAATTATGGGAATGTGGTCCCTGGCACTGCCTCCCTCAGGGCTTGGGACCCAGAGGGGAAGAACAAGCAGCCTGTATGTAGCACCTCTTGCTGGCAGGGGGAGATGGCCGAGGGGGGGGCACGGGGCGGCATGGTTTAAACCACAAGAGAGCCACCAAACCACCTCTTTGCCAAGGATCCCTGGCCTTACGTTGAGCTTCTGGCACCCCACGGCTCCCGCTCTCTTCTTTACCTCTTGTTTATGTCTCCGTTCCTGGAATCATGCCTTGCTGTGGGGCAAATCCCCATCTCCTGTTGGGTTTGGGTGCAAGGGAAGCATTCCCTCTGGCTTCTCTCCTGGCCATCTCCTATCCAGGCAGTAGCCGGGCCTGACCCTGCTGAGCTTCCATAATCAGTGGGATGGGATCAGGGGTGTGCGTAAAGTGTAGCTCATAAAGGGACAGAGACCCCCCTGTTGTTGTTGTGTAGCTGTCAAGTCATGTCCGACTCTTCGTGACTCCTTCAACCAGAGCACGCCAGGCCCTCCTGTCTTCCACTGCCTCCTGGAGTTGGGTCAGATTCATGTTGGTTGCTTCAATGACACTGTCCATCAATCTCATCCTCTGTCGTCCCTTTTTCCTCTTGCCTTCACACTTTCCCAACATCAGGGTCTTTTCCAAGGAGTCTTCTCTTCTCATGAGATGGCCAAAGTACTGGACCCTCAGCTTCAGGATCTGTCCTTCCAGGGAGCACTCAGGGTTGATTTCCTTCAGAACAGATAGATTTGTTCTCTTGGCCTCTAGGTTTAATTGGTTGTGATTTCCTGCTCGGATCCTGCTGCCAATTTGTCCCCTGGGTCTTTGTGTGCCTGTGGGCAGAACTGGTGGTATGTGTGTATGCGCGCGCATGCGAGCGCATTTGGCTGGAGTTTCCTGTGAGAAGAAAGTTGCAATAGAATGCTTAGAGATCATCATGTGCTCTGACCAATTATCTCCAATGAGCTAAGGAATCTCCAGGCTCAGGTGCCTGGCTTTGAAGAGGAGCATCAGGAGGTTCAAGAAGAATCCCCAGAAGCAGCTCAGGGTATCAGGATTCCACCCAAAAGCTTGGGGCCCTGCCATCAGCTCCCCACATCCCTTCCCCCCCCCATACCTAGAGGCTGGTGGCTGGTCCTCCCCGGGGCCTTCTTCCTAAGCCCTTCCCTTCTGACTGAGGAGGCCAAGGGTGCCCACGTGGATCTCCTTGGGCTTCACCCTGGAGATGATGGGGTCGAGAGTGGGCGGCACCAGCAGGTAGAGGCTGGCCAAGAGGATGTGGACATGATGGGGGATGTTGGGGCCAAGGCGGAGAAGACCCCAAAGACACAAGCATCTGTCCCCCAGGTGCCAAAGGCTTTGAGCCGACCCGGGATGCCCGTCAGCAGGGAGAAGCCTGGGGGAGTCAAGGAGAGGTGGAG